TCTGTTCGGATCTATTTTACAGCCCCATCTGGTTTCCTGCTGAATCCCTAAGTGAAACAATAACAACCAAGACACGAATCTGTCTGTAACATTATCCAGATTTGCGCCCCACCGCAGTGTTAATCTACCTCATGAAACCAGTCAAAGATTAGCATCTGACAAGTCCTACTGATTGGAGACAAATTCAACAAAACTGCCTATCTTCACATCATAGCATGTCCCGGATGAATTTGACTTCCTGAGTACATTTAGCGTCTTCAAAGCCGGGATGACCCACGTTTGAACTCTGTTCTGGTTTCAAAGACAAATCCCTTTCCTGTCTGGTCTCCATGTCCCTCCAGAGGGATACACTCAGTCTTAAAACATGTGGTACCATGCTACAACATAATAGCATACTGCACTAACATGCTGTTTATCAGTGGAGTGGAATATCATAATGGGGGTATGCATTCTGCTCGATTTTGCTCTCCATACAGACTGGTTTTCCGAATCGATCCAAAGCCTGCTGATGGATTAGAATGTGTATCCTCTGCAGGTCATGATTGTTGGTACAAATGTGACCAAAATTACTCAAATCTGGACGGTTTAATCCTTCCTGTCTTGTCTGATCTTCCTCTGTGTACCAGATTTGTTTTAGCTCAATTGAAGACGACAGCCATAGTGCATTTTTATGCCATGAGTATTCACCAAAAGTTGAAGTTATTTTCGTGTTTTTAACAAAAAGCGTGAGAGCTTCTTTCTTTCATGCTGAAAGAATGAAGAAAATATGAACATATCTAAGACAGACATCTGAAAGTTTTCCAGGAGACAGAAAAATGAAAAAATGCAGGCAGAAAACACTTGGCAGCTCTCAAAAATTGACTCCTTTCCCTCCCCTCTGTCTCTCTCTGTCTCTCTGTGGGCTTGGAAGCACTTGAATACAAAGTTCAGTGGCTTGTAGCCGCTTGTGTGTAATGACTTCTGACAGCAGTGGAGACAAACTGAAGAGCACGTCTGTCTCTGCATGAGCATTTACAAATCTACTCCCGGGAACCACATTCCAATTCTGGAAACGCTATTATATGCAAGTCGCCATGAACGACCGCATCTACAGGATACATATCCGGAGGTACCAGTTTGAAATAAATGGAGGACAAGAATGGAGGAGAGAGCCGGCCTCATATTTCTCCCTAAAACAATCTGAGAAGTTTGCTACCAGGGCAAAGAATCACAGTGATGTATCGAAGTAATTTAAGAGGTACAGTTTGGGGGAGAGCAGCAGCTGCAGGCTCCATCAGACAGAGCTTCTGGCTCAACTGAATCTGGCTGTTGTTCTTATCTGGCTGCGATCCAACACCGATGGGATTTGGGTTCTGCTATGCATTATGAACTACTTCTTAAAAGTGAAGTGTAAGTGTTGGCAGGGTGTGTGCTTTAGTTCCCTGAGGAGGAAGGTTATAGGCCATACGCTATGAGGAGCGTGTCTCCATTAGTATCCAAGCTTTGCACTAAAGTTAGGAAAATGTTATACTCCAAAGTGTGCCAAACTATCATAACCACTTCTGCTAACTTGGAATTTCTCCTTTAAATAGTATACAGCTGCCTTCGAATGGAGCTCGTAAAGTCGTCAAGTGTCGCCCAGTTGGAAAACGAACAGAAATATGGTTGTTAGGAAATGGTCATGTAGACGCCAAAAGTGGAAAATGTGAAATTAAATCATGTATTCGAGTCCACAAAGTTAATGATGTGGAATCTCTTGTCACTACAGAGCATGTCAGTAACATATCAGTGCTTTTTATTTATGTGAAACTTTGATGGGCTCTGCCATTTCTAGAAACTTCATCAGACATATCACAGTATGTGAACTTCAAAAAAATCCAACTTTCAATGTTGTTAATTGGACAAAAAGGGGAGTCCATATGGTCCCTTTTGTAAACACAAGACACACGCCCCATTCAAAAACACTATAAAATGCATTTGGAGAACTAGGTGAGCAGATAAAATTTTCAGACAGACTTCCCCCAGGTTTTTTCTTGCTCGTCCCCCAAGAAGTTGAGAATACAGCAAGAAATACTCAGGAATACTTGAGGCAAGCAGGCAGACTGGTGTGATGAAGTCTGTATCATGCAACTGGTGCAAATCTAGAAGAGCAAGATGCATCACGTTGAGTGACTTGCGGAGGTGCCTTCACATCAGTATTCAAGTTGGCAACTGTTTTAGTGTCAGCCTCAGACCCAATCTTTAGACCAAATTGTCACTTAACTTAGTGATCTGTCTCATGTAAGTTTGATGAGCCTTGAGCAGTCCACCATTTGGGCGTCCCCAAACCTCCTCTTTGAAGTTGCCTTAAATTGAGTCTGCACTCACCCTGTTGCTCTGGTATGCTAGCTGGACGAGGTGAGGGGAAGGGAGGAGGGGGGTGAGGTAAGTGTGGGTTATTTGGCTAAGGAACTCCTCTGCTCTTGTCTTGACTCCTCTCTAATCTCTCTAATTGGAATCAGGGGGGCTTGAGGGGCCCCTAAGAGCTGCCAGATCTTTGTGGTCATAGTGTGGTGAAGTGACGGGGTCAGAAGAACAAAGATGTCCGAATGACTGAGTCGTTTTGGTTTCTGTTCTTTCTTCTGTTGGCTTAAAGGCCCCAGTGGGTCCCTTCAGTTAATGTGTGGTTACAGTTGTTTTTCTGACAAGTGTTGTATTGTTAGAAAACAGGAAATACCCTTGACCAAAAGGTGGAACTCCAGATTATGACATTTTGGCACCATTAGTGGCAGAAAGTAATCCTGAATAGGTAGTAAAAATTTGTTTCTTTTTCCAACTCTCCCATGTTTTTTTGTCCGAGCTCTCATGTCTTCATCGGTGTCGGTTTCTGTGATAATGGCGTGGAGTATCACAGCTGGTTAAGTTTCACGGTGTAAAAGTTTAAGACAGCAAGCTTCACATGTGGTATAACAGCTGTTGTTTGTAACAGCATGACAGCAAAACAATCCTAATGTTTTCTTAAGAAACTGTGCCCCATTACTAACAGGTCCAACTGCAGGGGTGGGCTATTACTGTAGACTGTAGACGATGGACTATATAATTTAAAATCCAAGACCACCAAGACCAAAACCCAAATTTTCAAATGCACCTCATTCAGCATTTACATGACAACCAACTGAGGGTAAATACAAGCTGCACAAAATATTTTTGTAATTGATTAAATGGGATTTATTTTTTAAGCACAAATAAATCCAAGATACTTTTGACCCTAGAACACTATCACCGGGTGATTTTCACCCAACCAAACATGTTTACGTGATTTTCATAATGTTGAGTTTGTCTGAGTATCATGGGTCTCTGGCTAGCTTTAGCATTGCCTTTGACATCTTTGAAGGCATATTCGTTTCCCTGATCCAAAACCGCTTTTCCCCACAGACACGTGTTCACATGATTTTCACGCGGTAATAGTGATAGAGGGTAAAGTAGGTTTGGGTGGGTTTCACCTGGCAATAGTGTTAAGTGTATAAATGCAGGTGATCTTACTGCATTTCAAGGCTGACAACATTCAGGGCTGCCATATTTACTCGGCCTTTTTCGACTACAGCTGTGATACCATTGCAGGGTTGATGTCTCTGGTCTTCAGCTAGTGAGTAACACATAGCTAAGGTTTGTTTAACTTAGTAATTGTATATTGAGTTGGGCTGTCGGCTCTGTACATCGAACAGAACATGACAAAACATTATCACACTTCTGAATCTCCTAATCCTAACTCTTCCCCTTTCCCTAACCCTAACCTGATAGACGATGATGTTTCACAGCCATAAGGAATAACCAATCGGAACCCCAAACTTCTAGCCAATCAGAGGCGGAGGAGGGCGGGACCTTCCCCTACCATCCTACCAAAAAAAAATATCACCTACCAGATCTGTTTGTGAGGCGAATTTCGTGGTGGATTACGGATAGCGAGAACTCACAAGAACCCATGTATTCACGTGCAAACGCACGATAACAAGTTGTCTCTAGCCACATGGTCTAACCATAAAAGTAGTAGATTGTGTCCTTCCAGAGGAGGAAATCTACTTCTAGACTTACAAAATCAGCATCTCCTTATTCATGGTGTCAGCGGGGTGAAATTCTGTGTAGAAACCTTTCACCAGTGGAAATTGCTGGTTTCAGTTTCAATATTACTTTTATTTTTTTAGGAATTTTTTTGTTCATTAATATGCCTAATTTCAGTTATTTTGTTGCATTTTTATTTGGTCCCCTCATGGCACTTTCCCCCCCTCCCTTTGCACATTTCACAGTTAAAAATCAAAGAAAACTATTTTCATTTGTCATGTATTGTCCAATTTTGATATATTTTGATGTCTAGTACTTTTTCTCGGGTATATTATTTCGGTGTTACTCATTTTAGCAACAGTGTACCAGGGTTAAGCAGCCTTGTAGCGATAATCTTAAAATTTATTTCACTAATAAAGACGATAACAGCAGCCATTTTTTCAAAGTTTTCCTCCCCTTCAGCCTAAAAACAACAGTTTGCGTCACTTGCCTGCGTGTGACGACATCGTCACAACAGTCCAGCGGACCAATCAGACGCGGCTGTTGTAGGACCCTAACCAGCCCATCATTTCAGAATTCATCACTGAGTTTCTGCAGTCCGAGAAGATGCAGGATGACTGAGAAGCTGAAGAGTGACTTTAAACTCACGGATTTATCGCTTTACTTTGAGACAAGCTCCCTAAAATAACGTGTTGGTTTTTTCTTTTTTTCTTTTCGGGACTCTTTGTTGTCTTTGTGCGAGCCGAACACACATTTGTCCACGTGAAGCCTCTGAAAACAAACCCTGGAAACTTTTCAAAGTTTTGAAAATAGAAACTAAATATGTTTAACTCGATATGGACACCTTTGTTGAGTTGTTTTATACTTTTTACTGCCACCGAGGCTTTAAATCACAAACTCTGACCTGATTCGAAACCACCAGGGAGAAACCTCACAGAAGTCCTGATGAATTCTGACGTTTTTAAGACTTATTCTTCCCGGAAATGGCAAATCGTGCCATATTGATGGAGCGAGTGGTGGTTTTGATATGCAGTATATTGACTCTAATCATCGGCTCATGTATCGGGTCTCCAAACCATAGTCACCGGCTGGTGTGCTGGAAAGCCATCCTCAAGTGCCACGGAGAGCCAGAGTGCCATTACGCCTACGATCAGTACCTGTACGCCTGCGCGTCTGTAATCAATGGAAACCGTAAAAAGTGTCCCAGCCACTGCATATCCTCTCTGATCCAGCTCAATTTAACCCAAAGTGGCCCGGCTCTGGAGGACTGCGACTGCGCCATGGACCCGGTCTGCAGGGGCACCAAACAAGCCATAGAGCCGTGCCTTCCGCGGACCAGCACCATGGGCTGCACGGAGGCGCGGAGGCAGTGTGAGATGGACGCGTCCTGCAGCGGTGCGATGAGGGATTACTTGTTCCACTGCAGGAAACTTTTCGGAGGGGAAAGATGTTCGGACGGGTGCCGCAGGGTGATAGCAAACATGCGCTCCATCCCCAAAGCGCAGCAGCTGGACACGTGTGTTTGTGATGGCACAGACAGGAACATCTGTGAGTACATAAAGGTCAGCATGAAGACTTTCTGCTCGGATTCCGGGGACAGGTTCGCGGGAAGCGGATTTTCAGACTCTGAGGAGGATTCAGATGATGATTACATCGATCAGGAGGATTATCAGGACGTGGAAAACTCAAGTGACTCCTTATTTTGCCAGACTGTGTTTACTGTCCTCTCCACCATTTTGGTTTTAACAAGATTAGTATGAAAGGGGGTGCCTAGAAGAGCAAGGAGAGAGTCAGCTGCCTTATGAATCAACAGATTCAGATCAGAATCTAACTGAACAGCATTTTTGGGGTCATATATGTATGTGGGTTTCTGCAGGTCTGCACAAACCCATATTATCTTCATGTTGAAATCATGCAAATCTAGCCCTTTGCCTTGCCAATCAACAGGAATCACATCAGAATCTGTCCTCAAGTAAAGTTTGGAGCTTTTCATCTGATTTTCTGCAACAGATCTGCATAAATTCACCAGAAAAACATACTGAAATCATGCAAATAAAGTTTTAGGGATGCAAGAAAAGAGCAGCTAACACAGTTGCGCTTAGAACCAACAGAAATCACATTGGGATATAACAAACTGTCCTTCTTAACTTTTGAATCCAACTGTTTGCTACTGATCTGCACAAATGTACACAGTTGCTGCTATTAAGGCTCGCAATCTAGACATTTCCCCAGTGAATCAACAAAAATCACTTCATAATTTTTCATATTTCAGTGCCATATTCAGAATTTTAGCCATCTTGAAATGCTGAAGGAGCCCTTTCTTATGTTTTGTGTGCCACCTATATAAAGTTAAATTGTACAGTTTATTGTATAAATATGTTTTTGTAAAAGTATTTGTTTATAAGAGATGAGATTTGCACTGTACCAGTAGGTGACTTATGCTGTTTTACTGCCTGACGACGAGAGAGGAGTGGAAAATGTTTAGTGCCTCAAAAGTCTGGTTTTTATTCACCATTGTGTGACCATATCAGAGGCCCGCTGTGAAAGCAGAGCCATTTTTCTTCCACCAGCTGTACACAGACTTTCTCCACAACCCCGTCATTAAAAACCAAAGTTTTTGTAAGCCTCTGAAACGTGTCTAAATTCCCAGAGTATTAAAAGATACAGCGACTGAAACCAGATAGCTCTAGAGAGTGACACACTTGACCTTATAAACACAGATGTTTGTGTAAAGTATGAAGTGTTAATTCTTGGGGACTGTTCGAACAGACGACAGAGAGGGCGACTCCTCCTCCTCTGAGGGGGTTCACAGCACCAACAGGGGGGGAAAAAAAGAGCACTCTTTCCATTTGTTTATGTTCACCCCGTGTGTTTGTTAGAAGTTTTTATAAAGATACACAGAGAAAATAAATGTCAGTTTGTTTGGGTGAGTAGAGACATGAAGCGCCCATTCTGATCACAATCCTCTGAATGTACGAACACATCAAATAAAGAGTTTTAAAGTGATTCATTTTTAAGTTTGTGTGGCTCTGTCTTTAACTTCCATCTTTGGTTTATTTTAGTAAAAGATCTCATACTGAGCAAGAAGAACTTCTGACCTAAAACCAGATAGCTGAGCAACCAAAAGCAAGCAAATGTTTGAGCTGCAAGTTGTCTGTATTGATGTTAACAAATAAGAGAATACGCAGACTGAAACAGCAGTGTGTTATATTAGTGTTTTAATTTGGTAACAGGTTGTGTCATCACTTTTAGGCATATGTTAGCCATTCACCATTAAGACAGCTAACCAAACTATGTTTACAATTAAATATACTTAATTGCTGTGTGTATTTATTGCAGTACATTTGACATTGTCTTCATAACTCAAATTACTATAGCTTTAATGTCCCTGAGGTTCAGAAGTTAATAGCTTTATTCAAATCCAGAATCCTTGCTGTGTAACTGTAAAAGAATAATGAAGTTACTTGTTTCTCAAAGTGATCAGCCTTTGTCTGTGGCCTATGGTGCACATAGCATGTGCCAAACACATATTCAAGGAGTGTTAAAGGAGAGACCATCATTTCACACAACCTAAAATTCTGGGCAAATTTATGAATCTAAGAAAAAATATGTTTCTGTGGGGATATTTGTAGTTGTTTTGGGGGGAGGGGTTATGTAAATATCAATAAAGGGCATTATTGGTATCAGAATAGCTATAAGATCCAATATAGGTACTGGTACCAGTATCAATACAGGTGCTGATATCGGTGTAAGTATAGGTATTGATATTAGTACTGATATGGGGGGGACCGGTATCAATATAGGAACCAATATCAGTATAAAAAGTCACTGATCAGTGACGATATTGGTATTGATATCAGCATCCATATAGGAATTAATATCAGTATCAATATAGAAGTGGCTATTAGTAACGATAAAGGTGTAGATATCAGTATCCAAATAGACATAAATATCAGTATTGAGAAAGGCATTGATATAGTTATTGATATCAGTATCCATGTAGGTATTAGTATCAGTATCAACATTGGTGTGGCTCTCAGTATTGATAAAGACGATATCATTGTCCATATAAGTTTTAATATCAGTATTGATGAAAGCATTGTTATGATTGTTGATATCGGTACTGAAATAAAGTTGTATCTAATCTTATCTATTCTAAACATTATACATATAGGTATTTATCAGTATCAATATCAGCATTGATATAACTACTGATATAGATGTGGTTATTGGTATAGATATAGGCATAAATATTGATATCACTATTGATGTTATTGTATTGCTTCATCAGAGATATTTTAAAACATTGGGGTTTCAGATATTGGCAAAAGTCCAATATCATGCATCCCTAAGTATCGAACTATCAAAACTGATTTTGGACAATAATTACTCGAATAGTCCAGATGAATGTTTGGACATTTCATTACCAAACCTTGGTCTCGATTGAGTACCAATGAGTTCATTTTTTGTATTTTTCTAAATAAAAGTTGATCAATCCATGCAGTTGCAAACCAGGGAGTACAAGCTTTGTAGTTTATATTTTTTCACCTCCCAACAGTTTGTTGGATTATGGAAGATAAGGTTTATGAAGTAAATTAGGTTCAAGTTTAAGTTTCTTAGGTTTTTGATTAAAGCTGTTTAAAGTCTGCCACAGATGTAATAAGCTGAGTACATTTGTCAGTTTACATGCCAATGTTATGAGTCAGTCAGCCCTCTGCACTTACAATAAAGCCAAGTAGTGTCCCCTCCTGCACTTGTGATAATAGGTCTTGAAACCATTGAGGGCAGCCATGTTGCTTTTCACTGGAAGTAGAGATGGGCCCTCCAGCCCATTGATTGGAGGAGAAGTCGAGTGGCACCTCTATTATGGAGATCCAAAACACACAATGGTGCAGCGAAACAATGCAGGGGCACTTCATTCACTCTTTTTCCTCGCTGTCACCTCCTTTCAGGGAGTTGGGGGGAGCGGGAGGAGACAGCTATCTGAGGGGAAGACGGAGGAGTTATGTGAGAACGTTTAGCTTTTACTGCTTGGTTTAAGTCCTGCTGAGAGTCTATCCACGGATACGTTCATCTGTGCAAGTGAGGTCACTCAAACTCGGCCGTTTAGTGGTTCTTTCTGGCGTACTTTGGCACACTATTATCGAATAAAACTTGTAAAAAACATAAGCCAACATTATGCTTTAAACAGTCATAAAAATACAGACCCAAATAAGTCCCAAAATGGCAGGGATTGTTTGAAAAAAAACAGCAAAGCCTCCCGGTAAAGGCATTTCTGGTCCTTTGTTATGAGAGGCAAGAGCCTGTCACTGTCTCTTTAAGAGAGCCGGCCCCTGCTGCAACCATTAATAATTGTAATGCCTTTTTATTATTGTTGGGGAGAATGAAGGGATAAGGATCATATGGGGGCCCCAGACTATACTTTGCCCTGAAATGTTTTCAATTAACTTTTGGCACTGGAGGAAAATGGGAATGTTGTGTTTTTTTTCCCATGCTGAAACAGAAAAGAGGCGACTGGGGCTTTTGGTGCGGGGACCAGAACATCATTAAAATTACCTCATCATAACTCAAAGTGTTGCTTGGCCAACCTCCACTCTGCCCCTCCCTGAGCCCTCTGTCTTCTAGGTTACATTAAAAACAAACACACATCTTCCCCTGAGCTTGAGTCTGTCATTGACTTTCAATTGGTCAAAGTTATTAGGTCCTAATTAGGACTTAATTTGGCTGACAATAACTTTACATTTCTACCAAGATTTCTGAGTGTGGTATGGTAACCTCTCTGCAAAGTTATGATCTTAGATTTCTGGATTTGCTCAGACTTTGATGAAAGTTACAAGAGTGACTGAAAAACCTCTGCCTCCAGTCAATTTCTAACATGCCTGCCATGGGGCGTGGGCACAGAGTGTTGTCTGACCCATCTCATATCATCCAGTCTGAGTATGACCTTACTTTTAAGCTAGCAGCAAATAGTCTTCCACTGAAAACTGGATTGCTTCAAATAAATAAATAAATAAAACCTTTGTCATATCTTCCTGTCATTTATATTGCATCATACCGTATCGCAGCATGTTGTATTGTATTTTATTGTATTTTAGTGTATTTTATTATTACGTTACATACTGCATTGTATTGTACCAAATCGAATCATATTGTTCAGTATTGTGTTGTATCCATAGATTGTATATACTATGGACAACTTGGTTCCGCCTTCTGCCAGTATACGGATTTGAAGCCAAAAAGCTCTCTGAAATTCTGCGTTTTCTCTCTATTTCCTGAAACCAACATTGTGCAGTAGCATGCACGCACTCCACCACTTGCGCTGTAGCATTGTGCGCATTTAGCAGGAGAGTTGCTGTGATGATGCTCGGCTCAAACAGTGTATCCCCTGGGTGAGCTATGCAATCCTTGAACGCCCATAGGCTGTATCCGGTGTCAATCATAGAAAACATGAACCCCCTAATAACTTTTAAAAATGGAGCTGTACAGAAAAAAGAGGACTTGAGCACAAACCAGTCTTACAATAACTACATGTCAACATCGCAAGCGGGTGGAGGGGGTGTGGGGGTGTATGTTCTGTGTAATAAATTTCTAAAGTTTGTCCACAGCTCTATAGGGATTGCTGGAGGAGGTGGGATTTATGACCTATACTGCAACCTGTCACCAGAGGGTGCTGTCCTCAGAGTGACTTTACCCAGCGAGGAGGCAGACGGCGTCCTTTCTATATACAGTCTATGGTTGTATCATATCATATCGGATCGTA